ATAATGCCTACTCATTTCATTGTGAGTAAAATTAAACTACCAGTCTTTTACCAACTCAAACGAAATATCATATTTTATGCATTAGTAATAAGTATTTAACATTTTATTAACAATTTTATTGATTAACTTCATTTTATGATCTGCATTTTTTCCTTCACTCCTATGTGATAAATCGTGCATATTATTTTTGCCAATTATTACGCATTTACCTTTTATTTTTCAAAAAGGCCCGATCTGTTTCCGGTTAGCCGCACGAGCCATTTGCATTTAAGCCCGATTGGAACTCCTTACTCCTGTCTGGTAGAGAGGTGCTTATGGACGGCGCAGTTGTTTGGCGACGATTACGAGATCCGCTTCTGGCGAGTTGTTGCTAGCAGGCTGTGTTGCCGCGCCAAAATTTTAGAAAATCTCCTGGATACCGCACCTTCCGCAGATAGCACTTTTCACATTAAATCCTCGCGTATGGACCTCCAAAAGGGCTGTGTGTCGGAAGTAGCAGGACATATGGGGGTGAAGAGCGATAACACTAAGCCCCATTTCCCCGCCCCAGCAGGTATAGGGACCCCCGTGGAAACGACTGAATTTGCAACATCACAGACACTGGACGCATCATCTCTGCCGATTTCTGCTGCCCTCGACGCCATTAGCACGGGCCAGACATCCTTACCTTCTCAGGATTCTGACAACTTGTTTGTTGTTAGTCGCTGGCCGAGCTGGGCCTGTAGACGTCAGCTCCTGCGACTCGACTCGGCCTGGGATGACTTTCTGGTTGAGGCCGACCTAATGAGGGCGGAGCGACGGGAACGACTGGTCGGCCTAGCTCAGCGAGCAAACACTTCGGAGCTCAAGCGGATGTACATCGGCTGGCTGATTCGACTCGGTTGGTTGACTGGGCATAATGAAAAATCCCAGGAGTTTAGCAGATTGTCGGATCTATTTCACATAATTATATTGTAAATTTAAATTAGCTGCATGTTCATGTGCTAATTTCGATCCCAACTGTTCTGCAAAAACATGCCTATCTGGGACATGTCTTCTTAGGCTTATCACTTCTATCGTTTGTTTACTATTTATCAAAGCAATTAAATTTTCGTTGGTTTTCCATCATGCAGTTTATTCAGGACGGCTGAATCCCGTTGTACTGCAGCCTTTTGGCTTAAATACGATAGTTAGGTTGACGCAGTCCACGAGACATCCTCCCTCGTTTCGATTGAAAACGGGCTAAGCTTTCGTCCATCACATCATGGACATCATCATAGCTGAAACTCGTTCTTGTAGAAGTCTCACGTAATCACTAGGTCAAGAAGACTATCCAGCTGTATCTTATCTCTTATCTGGGAGAAAACCTGTGATATATGGGAAAATACCTGGCCTTCACATCTGCCGTGTGATCAAAAGGCACTTGTGGAAATGTGGCGTAGTGGTTAGCATGTCTGGATTGCACGCTGCACTGTCA